CCCCCGGGGGGTTTCTGTGCACACCAAGGTCTCGGTGTATCCCTCTAGAGGGGATTCTGTGCACCCCAAGGCTGGGAGCTCTCCCGGGTTGCCCCCCTCTCGAGTGACTGTTCACTTTATTTATGGTGTGACATATGTAATATTGTCTATTTTTCTTACGTTTCCTGAGAAGAGGTAATATATAAGAGTTCTGCAGATGCGCCTGCTGCGAGGCCACCTGCTCTCCCGGGTGTCCATCCCATCCCTGCCCTTCCCACCACACGTGCCCCTGCGTATCCCCATGCGTCCCCAGCCCCGCGCCGGGGCTCTGCCTCTCTACCTCCGCCTCACCGGGAAACTGTGGACGAGAGCATTTCCATAGGGAATTTCCATGGGAATGCTCTCGTTTCCACCCCCTTCTGGTTTGCTTCCGTTTCTTTTCCTTACTTATTATTTCCTTCTTCTGTTGTTTTTTTCAGTGACAAAATTACCCAACAGAACCTTGCATTGAAACCAAAAGCCGAGGGAGGGATGGGATGGGCAGTGACGGGCGGCGCTAGCAGATGTCCAAACCAGAGCGACAGCTTTAAAGTGTGATATTTCCCAAAAACGTTAGTTTTTAGCCACATCCCTCGCAGTGATGTGGCTGCGGCGCTGGGGAGGTGCTGGCCAGAGCTTCTGTGGGGTTTTACTCCAAAATGGTGTTGGGGCATGTGGGGGGCCAGGGGATGTGTGCCCTGTGCCATGCCCAAGCCATGTTCTTTGGTGGTTTTATGTGCTATGGGAGATGGTAGAGGGATGAGCATAGCTGGGAATAGGGACACCCCGGTGGCTGTGGGGCAGTTCGGGGACACGGGGGTTGAGGTGGCTGGGCATAGTCCTCTGCTGGATCATGGACGCATGGCCACCCATAGATCCCCTTCTTGGTTTCCTCCCCGCCATCGCAGCTTGGGGACAGTGTTGGTGGTGTGGGGATAGAGGTCCTGGTCCTCATGGGGAGGCAGACCCCAGGATGCTGGGTGCGGCACTGTGCTGGAGGAGGTGGCTCCAGTACGCGAGGGTCTCTCCAGCTCCTTCCTCGCGTTCCCAACCTGATGTCCCACTGAAACCAAAGTGCCGCATCCTGGTGAGCCTGGGCACCCTGGAGCAGGGTCCCACGCCTGCCTGGGCTCTGCTCCATCACTCCCAGAGCCCCCTATAACCCCCTGCAGCTTCTCCGTGCCCTTCTCCTCTAGGGCCCACCGGGGTCCTCTCTTCTCCTCGGGGTGACACTCTGGCTCCTGGTGGGTTTGAGGTTGGGAACAAGATGCCACGTTGTTACTAGGTCCCAGGCACTGCGGACCAGGTCCCAGGACCTGGGTGCCTTGGTGGCATTCCCAGGGGATCCTCTGATGCCACTGAATGCCATAGCCCCAGGAGGGAGGTGCTGTGCCACCATCCCCCCTTACTCAAGGCTTTCCTGCTCCCATGCCCTGCCTGTGTGACCCTGCCAGCCCTGGGGATGGGGATACCGGGGCATGGGGGGTGACAGGGGGCTGGAAACCAGCCCCGACACATGGGTTTTGGGGGGTTTGGGAGGGTTTTGGGGGGCTTGGGGACCAGCCCAGAGAGATGACGTGGTAGGACTTTCCTTCGGCATGCTGTCCCCCCCCCACCCCTTTGCTGTTTCCCGCTTTCTCTTAAGTGTACTGTATGTTTGACCTGTGAAAGATGTAAACTTTATGATTCAGGTTATGTCTGTTCTTAACTCTGTATCTGTGTAATAAAGACAATTTAATATCAATCAGAGCCTGGACTTGTGCTGTGCCTCACCCTGGCAGCACCTTGTGTGCCTAACCCAGGGGGGGTTCAATGTAGCCACTGGGTCGGTCACTGACCTGTGTCCAACCCTGAAGAGGGGTGTCCATGGTGAGGGGCATTCAGGGTTGTCCGCAGGGAACGCAAAGGGATGTTCTCTTCCAGCTGCAGATGATGCACCCTGTTGGGGTGCCCTGGTACCAATGATGCACCCTGTTGGGGTGCCCTGCTGCAGATGATGCACCCTTTTGGGGTGCCCTGCTGCAGATGATGCACCGTGTTGGGGTGCTGTCATGGTTTAAACCCAGTCAGGTAACTTGTTCACTCACTCCCCCCCTTCTTTCCCTCCCCCTACTCCTGGAGGGACGGAGAGGAGAATAGAAAAGAATGCAACTCCCACTGATTGAGATAAGAACAGTTGAGTAACTAAGGTATAACACAGATCACTGCTGCTACCACCGGTAATAATAATGATAAAGGAAATAACAAGGGAAGAGAATACATCATCTCACCACCAGTCAACCGATAACTCGCCCCCCCCAGCCCCGACCAAGCACCGACCGATACCTCCTCCAACCCTGCAGTCTCCCAGCCCTTCTGGCTAACTCCCAGTTACATCCTGGGCACGGCAAGCTGTGGTATAGAATACCCCTTTGGCTAGCTTGGGTCAGGTGTCCTGTCTCTGCTTCCTCCGGGCTTCCCCTCCTCCCTGGCAGAGCATGAGGCTCACAAAGTCCTTGGCCAAGCCAAAACATCCTGTTATCAGCTCTGTTCCCAAGCCGAAAGCCAAAACACTGCACTGCACCAGCTACCAAGGAGGAGAAAAATGACTGCTACTGCTGAACCCAGCACAGGTGCCCTGGTGCCAATGATGCACCCTGTTGGGGTGCCCTGCTGCAGATGCTGCGCCCTGATGGGGTGCCCTGCTGCAGATGAGGCACCCTGTTGGGGTGCCCTGGTGCCAATGATGCACCCTGTTGGGGTGCCCTGCTGCAGATGCTACACCCTGTTGGGGTGCCCTGCTGCAGATGCTGCACCCTGTTGGGGTGCCCTGCTGCAGATGATGCACCCTGTTGGGCTGCCCTGCTGCAGATGTGTACGCTGTTGGGGTGCCCTGGTGCAGATGCTGCGCCCTGTTGGGGTGCCCTGGTGCCGATGCTACACCCTGTTGGGGTGCCCTGCTGCAGATGCTGCACCCTGTTGGGGTGCCCTGCTGCAGATGTGTACGCTGTTGGGGTGCCCTGCTGCAGATGCTGCACCCTGTTGGGCTGCCCTGCTGCAGATGTGTACGCTGTTGGGGTGCCCTGGTGCAGATGCTGCGCCCTGTTGGGGTGCCCTGGTGCCGATGCTACACCCTGTTGGGGTGCCCTGCTGCAGATGCTGCACCCTGTTGGGGTGCCCTGCTGTAGATGTGTACGCTGTTGGGGTGCCTTGCTGCAGATGTGCACGCTGTTGGGGTGCCGTGCTGCAGATGCTGCACCCTGTTGGGGTGCCCTGGTGCCGATGCTGCACCCTGTTGAGGTGCCCTGCTGCAGATGATGCACCCTGTTGAGGTGCCCTGCTGCAGATGATGCACCCTGTTGAGGTGCCCTGCTGCAGATGATGCACCCTGTTGGGGTTCCCTGCTGCCGATGCTGCACCCTGTTGGGGTGCCCTGTTGCAGATGATGCACCCTGTTGAGGTGCCCTGCTGCAGATGCTGCACCCTGTTGGGGTGCCCTGCTGCAGATGCTGCACCCTGTTGGGGTGCCCTGCTGCAGATGCTGCACCCTGTTGGGGTGCCCTGGTGCTGATGCTACACCCTGTTGGGGTGCCCTCCTGCAAATGCTGCACCCTGTTGGGGTGCCCTGCTGCAGATGCTACACCCTGTTGGGGTGCCCTCCTGCAAATGCTGCACCCTGTTGGGGTGCCCTGCTGCAGATGCTGCACCCTGTTGGGGTGCCCTGCTGCAGGTGTGTACGCTGTTGGGGTGCCTTGCTGCAGATGTGCACGCTGTTGGGGTGCCGTGCTGCAGATGCTGCACCCTGTTGGGGTGCCCTGCTGCAGATGCTGCACCCTGTTGGGGTGCCCTGCTGCAGATGTGCACGCTGTTGGGGTGCCCTGCTGCAGATGTGTACGCTGTTGGGGTGCCCTGCTGCAGATGCTGCACCCTGTTGGGGTGCCCTGCTGCAGATGCTGCACCCTGTTGGGGTGCCCTGCTGCAGATGTGCACGCTGTTGGGGTGCCCTGCTGCAGATGTGTACGCTGTTGGGGTGCCCTGCTGCAGATGCTGCACCCTGTTGGGGTGCCCTGCTGCAGATGCTGCACCCTGTTGGGGTGCCCTGCTGCAGATGTGCACGCTGTTGGGGTGCCCTGCTGCAGATGTGTACGCTGTTGGGGTGCCCTGCTGCAGATGCTGCACCCTGTTGGGGTGCCCTGCTGCAGATGCTGCACCCTGTTGGGGTGCCCTGCTGCTCGCACCGTGCCAGGGAGCTGACTGCGGTCCCCAGCACCCCCAGCGGGGTGGGTGGACAAGGCGGATGGGGGGAGCCCCCAGAACGGGCCCTACGACCCGTGCCTGTCTTCTCCCACCCCCAGGACTCGAACCTGCGGCCACAGGGTCCCAGGTGGGCAGGACCGCTCCTTCCGGCCTGCCGTCAGGGGGCGGAGCCTGGCGCCGTGCCCTGCCCTGATTGGTCTTTGCTGTGTGAAAGGCGTCCTGCGCGGGAGATCCACACGTGGCGGCGCGCCCAGAAAGCAGCGCGGCGTGTTCGGGGTGCAGGTCTGTGGCAAGCGGTGGGGCTCTGTGGGGTGGAGCAGGGGGCAGCTTCCTGCTGCAGGCAGGGGAGTTTAAGCCGCTGTGAGCTCAAACCAGGAGCACAGGGCTGAAAGGGGGTGGGTTTGCCTTTGGGTGAAGCACGGCTCCCTCCGTGCGGCCTGGGAGCAATGTGGCGGGGCAAGTCCTGCCTTTCCCCCCCCCCCCTTTCCTGCTGGCCTTGTGCCTGCTGCTTTGCAAGCATGGGAAAGGAAATACCTGTGGGTTTACTCCCTAGTGGAGCTGGGAGATAAACTCCCTTTTGTTGTCTCCGGCCCACCCTTGTGCCCAGCTGCAGGTGGAGGTGCATGTTGTGCAGCACAGAGTGGGGAGAGGGGTCAGGGTATCCGTGTTCATGCACTGCTCATCCATGTCTTGGTTGGGGTTTCAGGAGCTACAGGCCATCAAAACCAGAGTGATGGAGAAGGCTGAGAGCATGAAGAAGGTGCAGCTGGAAGCTGAGAGCAGCCTTCCTGGGAACTCGGAGCCAGGTATGGGCTGTTCCTGGGTGCTGCTGTACACCCAGGGACATGGCTGGGGCACAGGGTGGGAGCTGGAGCCAGAGCATGTGGCTGTGCCTCTCTGGACAGCCTGGGGCTGGACACTGAAGGTGAATGAAGGATAGGGTCCCAGGTGTGGCATGGTGCTAATGCAAGTTATATCCACTCTTACCTCATATGTGTGCAGGCAAAGCTGCAGTAAATTGATTACATTTAATTCAGTTAATTAATTGAGTTTAGCGCCAACAGCCTCAACAGAGCAGTTACGCTGTGGTTTGGGTTGTATTCTGAAGAGAAAGAGGGCAAAGGGGATGGAGGAGGCAGATGCAGTAGTGTGGGGATTTGATGTGCCTGGATGTGACAGGGGACCTGGGGAGCTTTGCAGTATGTCAGCTTGGTGGTGGTTGTTGTGGTAGCAGACCTCCACCAGCAGGACAAAGCAACCCTTGTTTCTGCAGGTGTCTCCTCAAAGGAAATCCATAACAAGGCAGAGTCTGACCAGAAATCCATCTATGTGGGCAACGTAAGTGGGAAAGCCTGGAGCGGACCCCATCTTCCCTGCTCCTGGTCCAGTTGGACATATGCCTGAGATCCCTCACACAGGGTACATCCACCCCGCAGTGAAGGCTGGCTGGTTCGATCCCAAATGCTTCTCCTCTGCCCAGCCCAGACTGGGATTGTGGCTCAGCATCTCCTTATGGTTTCCAACCACTTGCAGATAATCTGTTGTGTCAGCTCCCCAAAATGCCCTGCTGGAAGCTGCGGGGTTTGTGTTGTTGCTTGTGCCCCCAAAGCCAGGGGAGCTGTCTCTTGGGTTTGGGTTTCCAGGCTGGAGCATTCAGCTGGAAGGGACCTTCTGAACCTCAGGAGATGGTGCGAGAAGGGTCAGCTGGGTCCTTAGTCTCGGTGATGGTGTGTGAATGTAGACCCATAGGCTATGGGGGGCTGGCTGGTGGCACTGGAGGAGTTGAGACTGTCTTTGCAGGTGGATTATGGGGCCACGGCGGAAGAGCTGGAGTCTTTCTTCCTTTGCTGCGGGAAGATCAAAAGAGTGACCATCATCTGCGACAGGTTCTCGGGGTACCCCAAAGGGTCAGTGCTGCGCTGCTGGGGTCTCCAGGGTGCTGCCCTGTGCTCCCCATCCTGTGGGAGCAGTGGGGTGTCCCTGGGGCTGTGCTCACCCCATCCCATTGCAGGTATGCCTACATTGAGTTTGAAGAGCAGAGCTCTATGAAGGCTGCAATGTCGCTGAACAGGATCTTGTTCAGAGGCCGTGTGATTAAGGTAAGCAGCACCCTGGGGTGCTGCATGCATTTCTCCCATCTCTGTGTGCATGGGGCTGTGCTGACCATCGGCACTGGCTGATCCACACTTTGCCTTCCAGGTACTCCCCAAAAGAACCAACTTGCCAGGCATCAACACCACCAACCGTGGCGGTTACCAGGGCCACTTCCAAGCCTGCAGACGGATGACCCAGTGGGCATCCTCCTATGGAAAGCAGTCCACAAGCGCATGAGGGAGGGAATATGGGTACGTGGCCAGCTGGGGGAGTTCCTGTGTATTTGGGTAAGACCCCTGGAGGAGCTGCCCCTTGTTCTGGTCGTGCTCAGCTTCTTGGCTCTGCAGCTGGAATGGGTGGGAGGAAGGAGAAGGGCTCAGGCCCATTCTGTGCTGTAAACATCATCCCCGTGCCTGTGCACTTGGGGGGGTGGCGTGTGGGGTGAAGGACCAAAGTGAGCCCCCAGTGATGGCACAGCAAACCCATCCATGCTGCAGTCGCTGCATTCCCAGTGCAGGCCTGGAGCTATTCTCCAACACACCTCCTGCTGCTGCTCATACATGTGTGAGCTCACTGTGGATTAGCTTCACTGATGCCCCAGTGCCTTTGGCACTGTGGGAAGAAGCAGAGAAGAGCTCTGGGGGTGAAAGAAGCACCTGGAAATCTGCTGCTGTCTCCTTGTCCCTGCGGGGACTTCAGTGGTCACTGGCTCCCAGCCTGACCAGTGCAAGCTGTGCCTGGCTTTGGAGGCTTAGTCTTGGTTATCTGGGGCAGAAGGGTGAATCCAGCTCTTGGAGGGGTGAAGGAGCTGGTTTTGGCACAGTTGACAGCTGAGCAACGCACCTGTGCTTCAGGATGCTGTTTTTGTTGTTCTTTAGGGGTTGGGCAAAGATGCTGCCTTACTACATACCAGAAAGCGTTGGACTACCCTGGTGATGCCGACTGGGCTGAAATGAGGAAATGGGATTGGAGAGATTTAAAAACATGCGTAGCCAAAAAAGATTAATTTGAACAATGCCATCTGCTTAGCTGTGAGGATTACTGGTAAAGCAGCCATGTGCCTGGCAGTGGAAGACTGGGTCTGCTCCATCTGCACATCCTGACAGCATCCCAGAGGGACTCGCCTTAGGTTTGCTATGGGGTTTCCATCAAGTACAGTCTTATTCCAGAGAACACTCTACCCTCAGGAGGGAAGAGATGCCCCAAACCATCAAGGCTCATTCTCATCCCGTGGACAAAGGCTGCACTAGAAGGTTTGGTTTAGCTTCTCGCTGTCCAGATATCCTTCATGACCTATGAGGATGCTCAACCCGTGAAGGTCCTTCAGCTTTGCCAGCATTTTGTACAGAAGCTGGATGCTGCTGTCTCTTGCTTGTAAGAAAGACCTTTCCAAAGACTCTTCTCCAGATCAGTGGAGAAAGTCCTGGGTTGTGGCTCTAGATCTGACTGCTGGGGAGCTTCATCAGCCTTGTGCATTTCTGACCTTCCTCTTGGGAAGAGAATGGAGCCAATTGTGTGGTCTGGGTCTGTTTTTTAGCTCACTGCTCTTGTACATGTAATAACTAGGGAAGGGGAGAAAACCACCCCTTGCTGTTTCTGTGGAAGCCTCTGTATCTCTCTGATGCCTAAACAAAACCTGGGTGTTACAAAATCCTTCCCTCTTATTTAAGAAGTCAACAACCCCTTTGTCCCTGTTCCTGCTTGTACCCCAAAGTTGTAGGGATCAGTGGGTGCTGCCAACTCGTCTTTCCACTTTATTTCTCACAAAACCATCTCCACTGTTGCAAATTTGGTCTGATCTTCCTCTTTACTCCCCTCAGGAGTCCCTGGGTGGGAATGGTGTAAGCTCAGCTGAGTGAAGTTCTGCACTGAAATCGGTTTTATTATGCAATTCTCACACTAATCTTTGGTTAGGATTCCTCCAACCCCAATGTGACTGATTCCTAAAGCAGCTTTTCACAGCTCAGGAGGCATTGCCAGCATAAAGAGCCCAGTGATTTGCCCCCTTGAAACCTAAAAGACTTCTCTTTGTTTTAAAGCTGGTGGCTTTAACCCTCAATGTTGTGGTGATTTTGTGCCTTTCCCAAGACTGGCCTCTATCTGAGCTACACCTTAAGTTTAGACTTAGAAAAAGTATTTTTTCTTAGGCTTTAAACTTTCACTTTAGTATCTTTGTAAATTTTTTTTTTTTCACTTTAAACAAAAATTACTTTTGGGTATTTGGATTCTGAAATGCTGAATTCCCTCTCTGAAGTGAAAAGAGTGAAGATGTACAGGAAGATGTTTTGGAATAGCAGTCTGCAGCTGTGTGTTAGATGGTGGGAGAGGCTTCAGCACTTTCTGATGATCTGGGAGGTTGTTGATTTAAATGTATGGAAGCTCTGTTTCAGAAGGTATTGCAAATGTCACTTTAAAATAAATTACCCTGCTGTGTGAACATAGTCTGCAGTGAGACTGGAGTTGACTCAACACTGACCTGGCTTTCTCCAGGCTTCTTGTATCCTTTGGAGCTGTACAACTACTTAATTATCCTTCTCAGCTTATGTTTTATAGATTTTTAACTTATTAGATGCTTAAGCACAGACTGCTGCATGTGGGGCAGGAAAAACTTGGAGTAGAGGTGTGTGACCAAGTAGCTGGTTAGTGCCTATGCCTGCCTGTGTTACTTCTGCTGACCATGCTGTAGCTGCACAGCCTTGTGTAGTATGAATGTACTGCACAAGCAATTAAGAAGCTTTTCTAGCCTACTTTGTGGGGTTTTCCTATACAAATACCTGGTATTGATTTGGCAGTCTTTAATTACAACAGCAGAGAGCTGCAGGGGGAGGAGATGCTAATAGAGATTAGTTTGGGATGAGCCAGGCAGCTGTGCAATCCTGTCTTAATCTTTTTGTGTGGATTTATCCCAGCTGTGCTACCTGGGCTAGAAATAGCTGTTAAGTGTGCTTGGCCAGCCTGAATGAGGTGTGAGTGTGAATATCAGGAGGTGCTCTTAAATGTGAGTCACCCAAAGACCTTCCCCAGGAAGGGAAGATCAGTGCAAGGTTTGATTGGGTTCAAGGTGCTGTTTTGAGACCAGCTGTTTGCTATTGGCAGAGCTCTCTCAAGTATGTAAACAGTGTCTGGGGGTGTAGAGAAACCTGAAGCCTTCAGCTGACTTGCAGAGTTTTCTCTTTCCAAGAACTAATGGAGTAAGTACATACAGATCTGAGTGCTCCTAACAGGAAAACCAGGACAAAAGCCCAAGTATGTTTGAAGTGAGCATTGCTTGTGATGTTCCTGTCAGAATGAACAGTCCTGAGCAAAGAGGGGTGAAAAAGAGCAAAAGGACTTCTGTGGCTGATGTGCTTCCCCTGCTTCAGAGGAACTGCTCTGAAGCACCAGTGCTTCTGAGGATCAATGTCACTCTGCATCTCAGCTGACTGAAATCTAGGTTGACCTAATAATAATCACTTAGCTGCCTCTTGTGCAGCTGTTCTTGCTCTAATCATCAGCACAGCAGGAACTGCTGTTTTTACACAAAGCTCAATTTCTACAGAAACATCTGACTTGCACAGAAGCACAGCTGCATGCATTTCTGCAGGGAACAAACCTATCTGACACAGGCTGACCTTCCTGAAGGAAGAGCTGGCTCTCACATGTTGCCTGAAGGCATAAAGATGAACAGTGATGTCTGTGCTATACTCAGGTTTGCTGGAGATGAAATGCATGAAGACCTTGCAGGTGTCCAGTTTATTTACACAGAATAAATTTAAAATATTGCACAGAACAAAGACAATATATACATCACTTTATGCACACCGCTGCACATGGGAGATGTCCTCAACACATGGATAAGGGGCAGTGCTTCAGCACACCTGCATCATCATGGAGTTCACCATATTATCAAAAGCCCTAGAGAAGGGAATGAACACAGAATATTAGAGGAAGCAGCTAGTTCTGCCCAGCACACCTATTGTAACAAAGGCAATGGCTAACAATGTCTTTTGCTGGTTAACAAGATGGTTTTCCCTATGCTGAATGCCCTGTTTTATTCTTTAACTATGCTTTGTTGGGTAAGTAATGACTTTTAACTAAGCTAAAGTAAGGATAGGTTTCACCCTAGCTGCAGACCTCAGCAAAGTGTAAGAAGGTGTTTTTGCCCAGGCAACAGAAGGTCCAAACATTACTAAAATCCCCTGTGAGATTACAGGTAAGAAATGGGAGGCACTGGCCCTTCCAATTACACGTGTCCTTACTCAAGGATAAGCCCTGAACAAGTGCAGTTGTTCACTTTTTAACCTGCTCTGCTTACAGGTATGTTTATTTCTGTCACCTACGAAACAGGTGATGTTTTTTTTTCTCTCCAAGAAACAAATTTTCTTGCATCAGTGTTTCTACAACCAGTTCTGAGGTAGGAGTGAGGCAGTCATGAGACTATCAGTTTTCTGTTACACAGAAATGGCCCAAAGGCAACACAGCTCTTCTCCAGTTAGGCATGAACATCTGAAATGGTCAGCCACAGGGGTCATGCTCTTGCTGCTGTTACATTGTGGGTATACTGCAAGTTCCAGAAAGATGACAAATATTAGTATGCTCAACTCACCTGGAATGGATACGGTCCCCGGGGTTATAAAAGGGGTTACACATTATATCTGTATATGAATTGTGCAGCTTTCGGAACATCTGAAAAGAGATTGTAGTTTAATTAATACTTTTTTTGCTTCTCAGCACTTTATGAATAAGTAGCAAAAAACACTGATTGGTAAGTCATGCTCACGTCCTGCACTTACACTGCGGATCTCGTTGTCTCGAAGTGCTGTGTTTGAAGAATCCACCACCATAACAAACTTCACCCTGGAATTTGTCACATAGCCGTATCTGTGCAGCTGTTAAGGCAAGTGCTTCTGACACACCGGAGCCTGGCAAAGCAACTGATGCAGGCTGACATAAACTCAAAGAAACAAGCTGAGAGGAAACAACACATTCTTGCTGTGCCCAGCACGTAGCTAGGACTAGATGAGGTAAGCAAGATGCTATTTGGCAGGAACTGAATCCCTTTTCTATCTGACTTCTTCCATCTTTCATAACTCCAGGACAAGCTTGCTCCTATACTGGCCAGTAAGGCATGCCTCGCAATTTCAAAAGTCAGCCTCCCCCTAGCTATTTTGGGGAAACCATTTTAATGACACAGCCAACTTATTTATTCTTTGGGAGACGTTCCAATGTCAGCCAGTGTGGCTGATCTGAAACTTCAAAAATGAACAACCAGGTTATAAAAACCCAGAATTCAGGCCTGCAGATAACTCCCATCTGTGGGATTCAGAGGAAAAGATGAAGAAAGCTCAAAGATCAATTCTGTGACTTATAAACATGGCCATGGAGTATAAAGAAATCAGACCACATTTAGGTACACGGGATTTAGGTACTTTGCCAGAGACCTTCACACTCCTGCTACTTTCACTGGTGGTATTAAAGAGTTTAAGCTTTATTCTAGTCAGTCAAGTGTTTTAGCCAAGCAGGGACTAAAGCACCCAGTCAGTGAAAGGTGAAGTCTAGTTGGACCAGGCACTCATCATACATTGCACTCCCTCATGTAGGGTAAAAGTAGGGTTTTCCACTGCCCGGTGGGCAGTGAAGCAGCTTCTGAACTGACCAAGGCACCAAACCTGAGCCTCTATGTGACAAACTGGTCAGTGAACAAGGACATGTGTTTTATGCTGATGTCTTTAATACAGCACCAAGTAGGAAGAAAGGCTTTCTATGCAGAGCCCCTTCCAAGAAAGAAGGGGCTTCTATAAATACATAAATAAATGCACAATAATACATGTAAATAAATACATATAAATACATAAATAAACACAAAATGGCATGGGAAAAGGCATCAGAAAGATACACCTTGTAGTCCTCAGTGGGGTAGAGGAGCCCTAGGTACAGTTCCCTCTGATCTACGAGGGCCTTGCCCATTGCAGAGATCTTTTCATCCACGACATCAAGTGAAGTGTGCACGGTGTAGTGGAACTTCAGCTCGTTCTCAGTTGGAACGCTCCGGATGTACAGGGGATAGTTCTGAGGAGCAGAGCAAACTACACTGAGTAGGAGTGTCCGCTCTGCTGTACAAGTGATGCCACGACAGTGCTCCTACCCAAAGAACTGCTGCTGTCAGAAGTAAGGTATTGTAAGCATTTCACATGCACAGCTCCCCTTTACACCTTGTAGCACTTGTGCAGATCTCCATATACCAGCACCAGGAGAATCAGCTGCAAAAGGGAGGCACTGCACAAGGCTCAGGTCTCTCCACTGTTTGACCTGCCCCAGCAGAGCCTCTCTCCCCCTCTTTCTGAGGAAAACCCACCTCTTCCCCTGGCAGCATAACACCACAGGGCACCCTCACGCTGCCCCTGCAGTCACTGCCCTGGTCCCAGCCAGCTCACTTCCAGCTCCAGTGCCTGCCCTGCTCCCCCACATACCCACCAAGGCTCTGTCCCACTCCCTTCACCCCTACTTATGCGCCACAACCTGGGACCCGGCCCTTTCCCATCACCCCTACCCCACAACCAGCCCCACGGCCCCAGTCCTGCTCCCTTCCTTGCTTCTGCTAGGCCCCACAACCACAGACCCACACGCTCTCCACTCACCTCTCCTCTCCTCATGCCCCATAGCTCCCCCGCCACCTTCAGGCCCCACAACCTGAGATCTCCCCTCACCCTTCCTCAGGCCCCACTGCTGCACTTGACCCCCTGCCACCCTCAGGCCCCACAACCTGAGATCTCCCCTCACCCTTCCTCAGGCCCCACTGCTGCACTTGACCCCCTGCCACCCTCAGGCCCCACAACCTGAGATCTCCCCTCACCCTTCCTCAGGCCCCACTGCTGCACTTGACCCCCTGCCACCCTCAGGCCCCACAACCTGATCTCTCCCCTCACCCTTCCTCAGGCCCCACTGCTGCACTTGACCCCCTGCCACCCTCAGGCCCCACAACCTGAGATCTCCCCTCACCCTTCCTCAGGCCCCACTGCTGCACTTGACCCCCTGCCACCCTCAGGCCCCACAACCTGAGATCTCCCCTCACCCTTCCTCAGGCCCCACTGCTCCACTTGACCCCCTGCCACCCTCAGGCCCCACAACCTGAGATCTCCCCTCACCCTTCCTCAGGCCCCACTGCTGCACTTGACCCCCTGCCACCCTCAGGCCCCACAACCTGAGATCTCCCCTCACCCTTCCTCAGGCCCCACTGCTGCACTTGACCCCCTGCCACCCTCAGGCCCCACAACCTGAGATCTCCCCTCACCCTTCCTCAGGCCCCACTGCTCCACTTGACCCCCTGCCACCCTCAGGCCCCACAACCTGAGATCTCCCCTCACCCTTCCTCAGGCCCCACTGCTGCACTTGACCCCCTGCCACCCTCAGGCCCCACAACCTGATCTCTCCCCTCACCTCCCCTGAGGCCCCACAGCTCCCGTGCCCCACAACCCGAGGCCCATCCCCACTCCATCCGCCCCTGCTCCGGCCCCACAGCCCGAGGTCCATCCCCACCTCCTTGGCGATCACGGCGATGCACACCGCCATCTTGTCCCCGCCTCCACCGCGCGTCCCGTCACGCGGGCCGCCTGTCACGTGAGGCGCGGCAGCAGCGCGGTGCGGCGGTTGCCATGGCGAAGGCGGTGCTGGTGCCGCTGGGCCTGTGCTGGGCCCTAGGCCTCGCCGCGGCCTCCGCGCCCCCCAACATCGTCCTGCTCCTCATGGACGACGTGAGTGGGGCCGGGGGGGGGGGAAGCCTGTGGTGGTCCGTGTCACTGGGAGGAAGTCGCTTGTGGGGGGTGACGCTGAGGGGGATTTGGGTCCATGGGAAGGGGCCGGTGTGGCTGAGGTAAAGTGGGGACTCGGCTCCATAGAGTGCGTGTTATGGGGTGTGGGCTGCGGTGGGTCACTGGGGTGGGAGCAGGGCCCTTGTGGTGAGGGGGGGCTCCCAGGGCTGGCGGAGGGGCGCCTGTGGGGTTCTATGAGGGGCATGGTTTGAGCACCGGCACCCTGTGGGCATGGCTGCTGTCAAACGCGTTGCGCTGGTGTATGGGGAGTGTGTGTGGTGTGTGCGTGGTGGTGGTCCCTGAGCTCACTGGGGTATTGAGGCGCATGGGCAGGGGTCCAAAGCTGCACTGGTGCAGTTTCATCAGGTTGGTTCCCCATGAGCCTTACCCTGCAAATTACGCTGGGTTTGGGTGTCCTAAGTGCACATCCAGGGGCGATTTTGGGCCTGGAGAGGCTTCTCTTTTGCGAGTGCGTCTTGAGCATTTGTTTGCTTCATTGTGCTCCATCAGCTCCATCTCAGTCCTGCAGAGCTATCCCTGATGTGAATGGAATCATAGAACCATAGAATAGTTAGGGTTGGAAAGGACCTTAAGATCATCCAGTTCCAACCCCCCTGCCATGGGCAGGGACACCTCACACTAAACCATGGCACCCAAGGGCATGGGGCCCTGGTGTTCTTTGTGGGCATGATCCAGCCTAGGTTACAGTTCCCAGATTCACACATCATCCCTTCCAGGGCTTCATATTCAGCCCGTGTGATGGCACGTGAGCAGGGTCTGCCGTGATTCATGGTCAGAGGCCTCCAGCACAGTGATTCAGGTGTGGGTTGATGTGGCGGTCTGGAAAAGTTTGATTGAAATAAGCAGGAATATCTGAATAAGCCTGTAAGGACTTCGTGTAAGTACTTCCTCATGCTCAGTTGCTTTCTTCCTCATTTCCTTTCCTAATTTTGTGTAAAAAGTGGTGAAGAAATGGTGGTAGGTCTGGTGTACCCCTGCCCTGCCCCTCCTTCAGGACAGAACTTCCCGAGGTGATTTGTGCTGGAGACTGCACACAAACCCCTTGTTATTCTTCATGCCCTGCTGAAAACAAGTGAGACTTCTCAGACCTGTACAGTCAAGCCCATGCACAAGCCTTTTGGAAGAGGTGCATACAACACCTACATACCTTACAGGTTTAATAATGTCATCTATTAGTCCATTTATAATGACTGAGCATGATGAGAAATGAACTCCGCAGTCCTTGGCAAAGGATTCCCCTGGCTGGTGCATGTTGAAAAACAGGGTGTCTCGGTGATTTTCAAGCCTTGGTAGAATCACCCTGAAGTTAAGGCTTGGTTTTGTAGCCTACAAAAATAATCGTGACAATATCTTCCAATAACAGCAATGGAGGTATCTGTAGTAGCACTGAATAAGGTTCGTCTACAAGTGTAGAGGAATAAACTCCCAAGATGTTTAAGGAAATGTTTTAGAAACCCACACTTACCTCTTGAAAAACTTAACCAGAAGAAAACTAATTCTGCTAAATTTTGCCTTCTGAACTGAGGGGGAGGGGAAAAAAAAAAGGCAATAAATCACTAAAAAATGGAAATAATCACAGATTTATTTCCAATTAAAAGTCTTTTCACTTTTGCAGCCTGGGGTGGTCTTAGCCACCTGGGCAAGGAAATATGTTATTTTCCAACACAATCCTGTTGCTGGCATCTTCCTGGTTTGCTTCTGTCCTGAATACTTTGGTGTCATCTGTCAGGTGTGTTTGTGGTAGGAACGTGTTGTGTTCTGTTTTAAGCTGCATGTGTTTTAAGCAAATGAGGGTGGGTGTGTGCCTCGAAGGGTGGGCAAGCTCTTATCGCCTGTTTGGCTCCTTCTGGGGATTCAGCATGACTGGTTTTCATTGTGTTTCTACACTCCAATACAAGATAATTACCTTGTAAGACGAGTTTTTCTGCCCAGCTGAGCCTTCGGCAGTCCATCTCAATTCCCCATTCAGGAATATGCCCCCCACACATCTCCTTTCCCAGCTGGCATTTGTAATATTCAAGATGAAAGTTCCTTGGGACAGTGATTATCCCACTCCAGAAGTGTTGTTACAGTGTGAGACATGATAAGGTACAGATCCTGACTGAACCTTCTATGAACTATCTATTTATTTGATAATGTGTTAGTTAAAAATGCATCTCCATGGTCTTTTTTACTTTAATCCTTCAGTAACTTCTGTGATTGTGAACTGGAACAACACGATACTGTTTTTCTCTTTCTTCCTTGATGATAAAGATACTGAAGAATGGAGAATTGGGTGGTGATCCCACTGAATTCATTTTAATTCCACATCCTAGTGGTAGGCTGTAATGTTTATTTGCTCCTTGCTCCAACCTCAGCAGACAGCTCTGCAGCTCTCCAATAGTTTTCTTTTCCAAACTGCACCACTGCAGTGTAAATGTTGGACTCTCAGATGGGGCCAAACAGATGGCTTTCTAAAAACCTCAGTACGTTACACCCTCTCTATCAGTTGCTCACCTGATACGCATCTATATTAAAGAAAGCTATTGCCTTTTTTAAAGCATAATATAATCTCTAGCAACCATGGTGCCTAATTGCTCATTAAATTGTTCCCTTCTAGAACCTTCTGTTTTAAGTCAGTTTTATTTGTATTATTACCAGTAATAGTTTTCAGCAATGAATGTAGACAGCATGATAGTAATTTTATGATTCTCCTGGGGTATGACCCCTCATATGCCCGGAGAAGATGCAGGGTGAAACCCCACTGTCTTACAAATAAGCAAGACACTGGTTTCTCCACATTTCAAGACGTGATGCCTCTGTCAGGTTTCTCTCCAGAACTTGCTTCTCAAATAAATGCTTCCTCCCTTTTCCTGCAGCACTTCTTTGGGGTTTAGAGCTTTGCTTTGCATTTCTAGTTACATATACACAGATGGATTGCCAGGTCCAGCAGGCTGAGGTGGAGTCCTGGGATCCACTGCAAAGAGAGCCAGGGGCTGAACGGTCAGACTTTGCAGCTGTACAACACCGATTATATCACTTGTAACTTCCTTGTCCTTCTTCACACGTGTGCTTGCCAGTCATCCAGCGCTTGAGTAAGAGTGAAGGCATTAGGGTGCTTACCCAGTTCTGCTACAAGTGTTTTAATGGCTATTAGCAAGTCAGTTAATCTCATGTGTGCCTTGGTTTCCCATTCCTCAGTAAGAAGTGTAATAGTTCCCTGCTTCACAGGGTTGGGGAAGATAATTTTTATCACGTTTGTGAAGTGCTCCCTAAGTAGGGAGATGAGCACTATAAAGATTTAGAAATGAAGGGATACAATAACGGTGTTTTGTGGGCCCAGAAGCATTGTTGTGGAAGAGTAAAAGTACTTCTACATCTTTTGATGTGTTCTTTTACAGATGGGTTGGGGTGATTTGGGAGTTTTCGGAGAGCCTTCTAAGGAGACTCCTAACTTAGACCAGATGGCTTCAGAAGGGATGCTTTTCCTGGATTTTTATACTGCCAACCCCCTCTGTTCTCCATGTAAGTAAACTTGGGTTTTAAACTAACGTATAAGCGTGCCAGCTTCTGAGAAGTTTGGGATGTTTGACAAACTAGCAACCAAACCAGAAATTACCCTCAGGGCAGCGTTTGGATTTGGTGCTTTGATCTTGCATTTTGCTCCCTTTTTATTTATGTTTTGATTGGAAAACCGACAATCTTCAGTCCATACAAAGCACTGTTTTAGTGATCAAATCAGTCTAGCTAAAGGAATATTTACAACATTATGGTGCGGTATTCTAAAAACTGCAGTCATTGCGTTTTTTTTCATCTTTCTTATTTTGGGATAAACAAAGCACTACCTACATTGTTGCTGAACATTGTACATAGTTTGATTCCATTGGTTTTGGTGAGACTTTCTTGCAGCAGGTTGTGCCCTGGTTTTGACCCTCATGGTTTGCAAGATTCTTGGGGAAGGGACAAGAGATAAAAGAAACGTTTGGGTCTGGGAGTCACAGATATTTTTATCATTACTGTTTTTTCTCTGATGTGGGTTTATTTTCTTTCTTTTTTTCCCCCTCTTTCTTTTTTTTTTCAAACCTGATTGGCAGCCAAGATCTGAAATAAAGATGGGGAACAGGAGCTTTCTGTTTGGGCTTTCATTTAGGGTATAATTTGTTAGCGTGCTGATGACGTCCTTGCTGAGAAAAGGCATTTAAAATATGCTGAAGTCCTGCTAAGTCCAGCAGTGGTACTGTATATGCTTAAAGTAAAACATCTGTTTAAACATTCCCTGCAGTCAGGACCTGACTTCTGTTGTCAAAGCTGGACAGCTCTTTCTTCACTATTACATGACTTGTGTTCAGGCAAGCTTAAAAACTTAGCCTTAAGCATCTAATCAGTTCATGTTATGATTTCCTCTTAAATATAAATGTCAGATGTTCCTTTTATAATTACTAAGATAGAAGAGCTGCTACATTGACTATTGAAAGAAAGGATTCTTCAGCAGTGGGTAATTTAAGAGAGGGGCCAAATTTCAGTCGGGTTTGTCCTGGAATAAGTTAAATGGTGTCTTATCAGAATGTGGCTATCTCCATGGCTCACTGGAGAGGGGAGTTCCTGCCTGTTTGAATGTGAGTGATCTTAGTTAGCTGGCTGTGGCAGAAAGACGCTGACATGCTTTAGTCAGCGTGCTGTCCTCAGCCTTAATGTAGTAATGTTAACATTAAGCAGAGAATGCATGTAAAATAAAACATTTTTTTGTTATTTGCAGCCAGGGCAGCACTGTTGACGGGCCGTCTTCCTGTCAGGAATGGATTTTACACCACGAA